CATTGAGTTATGGGTTTCCTGTGTCTAATTATATGCACGTGTTGACAAGTTCGAAACCGACATAGACGTGATGATGGTTTTTCCAGCTAAAATATCGTAAATCTTCGCACTTTTCAAGAGTCCGAGGTAAGATTCTCTACAGAACTAATAATATATAAGCGAACAAGCGATTTTGAGCGATGTTATTGGCATTAACCGATTAATTTTGTAAGGATCCGTTGTGTTTTGGTTTCCGCCAAAGGTCAAGTTGATGTCAAATTTGAGACCTTGTAGCGTTACTACCAAACAATCGCCCAAGGATTTGTTTAAGCCACTCAAAGAATATCATTTCAGCATTACAATAACCATGTTTCACGTCGTTTAAAGGTTTAGCAAATTCAGAGTCGACTTTTTTGTTTACTATACTTTTTAAGGCTGTGAAAAGGGGGCTAGCGAAAAATATTATCTTTATGTGTTCTAATCTTTCAAATGAACTCAAATTCACGCAAATGGTAAATAAGATATAGTATTACAAGGGCTCAAAATGATTTATCGGATAGTGTTGCTCAGTGTTCACTTAAACATTCAAAAAGTCAAGCCAAAATTGAACGGCAAAATTAGCATATCTGGGTGCCTATAGAAAATCTTGATTTTCTCCATTTAAAAGCGATATTTGAGCAAACCAAATACCTGGCGATTCTTAGGATACATTACCCTACCTAACAACAAAATTTGAGTGAAATCGATTTTTGCACCGGTGCCACGATTTGTTTGACCGTTACAGACATTCACTCTTAATAGTATACTCAGGCCTGTTGTGGGTACTTAATTGTTTTATGGTCATATAAATTAGTCAACCCAAAAAGATTTCCATTCAATGTCCATTGGCATGTAAAAATTTGCAATCAACCTAATCTAAGCCTAAGCTTACTTGCTTCAGTTTGCTGAAGTTGAAAATTTTCCGCTTTTGTACAATTTGAACCTTCGTTCCTCGTCTTCAGCAGCCATTTGATTTCAAATTCTGGTTATCAGTTAAAGATCCAGAGTGTGATTTGAGTCGATTTGTTTTGCTTTTGCTGTACAATGAATTTTGTTGATCTTCGGCTGCTCAATGAAAAGTTCATAATCCGTTTTGGTTGTTTTTTCTCCAGATTTTCCCCTGTATTCCCAAGATTAATTACACCTGATTTCACTGGCTTCCTCATCGGCTAAATATGAAGCGGAAGGTGATTCTGCTTTCCTTTTTTGGGGCTAAAAGTTAACTATAAACACCGTGAAAATGAATTTTGAATAGTCTCGTACTAAGATCTTCCTCCACGGAGCTGCCGGCGGTCGACCGGCGGCCGGGCTGCCAGTCATTCAGAAAGCTATTGTTCAAGACCCTTTCTGATTGGCTGTTTTAAAATGAGCAATTCTAAAAATAGCACCAAGAGGGGTAAATGCCATTCCAAGAGCTTATGAAGAAGAGGAAGGCTCCTAGTAATGGGCTCCTGTTGTATTTTAAACTCGTCTTTTTTTCTTCACTATGCTTTTTTCCTAATCGGCTTGCCTTATATGTAGAATTCTGAAAACCCTTACCTTATCCCAGAACATTTTTTTTTATTTTGCATGCCCTGCCCCAGACTAAAGGTACAGAGGTACATTTAAAAAACATTTACCCTAGCAGATATTATCACAGGCAAAGCTCCACCCTACCCCAGACAATGAGACTATACCCTATCCTATACAAAAAAACTACCCTATCGCAGACAATACTACTACCCTAACCCAGACGAATGGACTAAAAATGACAACCTATCCCCGACTTGGAGCTCCGAAAAAGAGACCCTATCCTGCGGCACATACTCGTATAGTAATGTACACGCGTTTTAATGCCCCGATACCAGATGCAATCTTTTTGGCTAATGGATGTGCACATTCCAAGATAAATTCTCGTCAATTTGCACACCAAGGGATCTCGCGTGAGACACCTGCTTAACAGTCTCACCATTAATCATCGGACTAATGTTGGATTGAAGTGTGCACAGTGTCTGCCTTGACCAATTAACATAAACTCAGTTTTAAAATCAGTTTTTAATTTCTTGGTAAGACAGTTTTTTTTTTTCACAATGTCGAAATTTTGGTTTCGGTACATCTTCGTAGCCAATCACATTGTAAATCATATATCCGGTAGCCAATCATGTTACGTTGTGTATTCCGAACTCTATAGGCTGTCCATAATCCCTCTCGCTCCATTTTCAACTCGTTCTACACAGTGTTTCGTGTGTTTCGTCCGCCCTTTTGATGAATATTGCTTCTACTAACGAATATGGGACAGAACATGAAGGTTTACGACCAAAATCTGGCACTCATTACTTGTCTGGGTGTTCGGACCAAGGGTATGTTGAATTATGATGACGAGGAGATCTCAAATACAGAGATCAGACACGCTTATATTAGTACTCTAGTCCGTATTCTGTGGTCGTACACTTTCGCTGCAATGGCACCGGCATCAAAAATTAACCTCACAAACGCATAGTTTAAGACTCGTTTAACACGAATTCAGTTGTTGTCACCTCCAAATCACCGCCAATATCGCTGGCTCAGTCTTTAAAACCCTTCGTAAAATTGCATTCAGTTAGAATTTTAATTCATTTAAAATAGAAAAAGGCGATTTATCAAGTTTTTCAGATGTTTGCTTTAAAATTCTTAAAAAAGCCATCGGTTTTGGCTGAATCTTGATTGTCAACAAAGAGAAATTGCTGAAAAAGCAAACGAAATTTTGCAAAGAATGGTCGGTCATGGTCGGGAGTAGACTATTGTTTTTTTATAATTTTTTCTTTATCAATAAATGAGGCAATTTGGGAATAGATGAAAATGAGCGAGCAATATATGGGTGGATGAATGGATGGAAAGTTGAATGTATTTAAGTTTCAATAAATAAAGGGTGGAAGATGGATGAATGGATTAAGGAAAATAAAAATAAATAGAAAGATAACACAATATAACATGATAAGAGATATAGCCCATTTACAGCCTTTTGCAAAAATTATGAGAATTGTYGAAATAYCTAAATATYATAATATCAAGTGCATGATGGGTAATCCCGCGCGATGCCCTTAGTCCCTTGTCTTTGTAGTTTAGTTTTTTTTGGCGACAGACTTATCCGTAGTTCTGAACATTTTCTCGATGTCAACAATGAATTATTCTAACAAACCCGCGTGTTCCGGACAATATATGGATATGGATATTATGATATTTAGATATTTAGACAATTCTCATAATTTTTGCAAAAGGCTGTATATATATAAATATTAAATATATAAGAAATAGACGGAAAGAAATAGAAAATAATACAGATAGAAATAATAATAATCAAAAAGAAACCAAAACGGGCAACATGTTTCCTGCAGCCATCAAATGAACAAGAGGCCAAGTAATATCAATCCGCATTTTGCAAAGAGCGCGCGCCGATAACATAGAAAGACAAAACCTTGCACATTCAATCTTTCCTTTCCATTTTTTCTCCCTTTCACTCAAGCAATAGCTGGGCGGCTTATGCTACAGCCTCTTTAAATGGTCTTTCATCATGTGGTTCTTTCTACGTTTATCTACAGGACGTTTAAGCAAGATCCTAAAGCTTTAAACTGGAGACTTTTGAATAGGTGTGGAGAAACTATAAATAAGATTTCAGCTTTTANCTGCAAAGTTCGGCCCACCATTCGATGTCGTGCAAACATCTCTTTGTCTTGAGGCTGTAGTCGATAGTTTCGAAGAGTATAAAGATCAAGTTGCATATCTCGCAGGTCTGGTTCGTCCTGGTGGTTRTTTACTCATGCATGGTGTGTTAGAGCAAACATTTTACACTGTCAAGGAGAAGTTATACACATTTTATTTGACGAAGGAAATGGTGCTAGAAAGCATGAAGGAAGCAGGAATCACTGACGTTGTTATGGAATTGGCCACTGAACATCTCGACTTTAAGGAATTCAATGAGCTTCCCTTTGCGGACCTTAAAGATATGTTTGTAGTCTACGGGCAAAAATAGTATACTGACTTCAGTAGGCGTGAAGTGTTAGCCTTTAATATTTGTGCCCTTTTGATGCTAAATATTGATTTAAAATTTGAAATCAAAGTTGTTTAACATTTCAATTTCTTTAGATGTATTGTTAGAAATAACGTGTGATCAACAACATTCTATATATTATAATAATAGTGATGATAAAAGTGGAAGAAAAATAACAGAGAAAAAT